GACTTCCTAACTTTTTCTTTTGAGAATGTGAAAGAATCTTGGAAGTACGTAGTGTTTATTTTTGACAAAATTTTTTCAAAAATTCTTGAAATTTATACGTTCTTGTTATGAAAGTATTTTGAAAACCATTGGTCTTTTTTTTGAAAGAGTTTGAAGGAACGCGAGGGTTCCCTAGTGTTTAAAGAATTTTAATTTTAAAGAATGACAAAAATTTGGGGCCTCTTGTGTTTAATTTTCGAAATAATTTGAAAAGATCTTACCAGCTTTTGATTTTTTGCTTCTGAAATTGTTTAAAAAAACTTTATGAGCTTCTAGCTGTTTTCTTTGAGATTGTGAAAAAATTTCAGAGGCCTCTAGTGCTTGTTTTTGAAAAAAATTTTCAAAAATCGCTATGGTCCATATGTTTCTGTTTTAAAAGAATCTTGGAAACCCTTGGCCTCTTTTTTGAAAGAATTTGAAAGTATCTGTGGGTTCCTTAGTGTCTCTTTTTTTATAGAATGTAAATATGTGCGTCCTATTTTTTTTTATTTTCGTAGTAATTTGAAAAGATCTTACCTGCTTCTGGTTCTTGATTCCGAAAGAGTTTGAAGGAATCTTAAAGAATCTCAGTATTTTTTGTTAAGAATGTAGAAGAATCTTGGGAGTCCGTAGTGTTTATTTTTGAAAAAGTTTTTTTGTTTTTGAAAGAATTTGAAAGCTCTTAGTATCTTTTTGAAATAGTTTGAAAGAATTTGGGGTTTCGTAGTGTTATTTTTTAAAGAATGTGAAGTGTCTGTGTTTTCTTGTGTTTCATTTTCGAAATAATTTGAAAAGATTTTACCGGCTTCTGGTTTTTTGATTCCGAAAGAGTTTGAGGAAACCTTGAGAGCTCCCAGTGTTTTGAACTGAAATGTGAAAGAACCTTGGAAGTCTTTAGTGTTTATTTTTGTTTTCGCAAATCTTCGTGGTTTACATATTTTTGTTCTTGAAAAAGAATTTGAAAGAATCTTGAAAGCCCTTAGTTTCCTTTCTTGAAAAAGTTTGAAATAATCTGAGGATTTTCTAGTATCTTTTTTCAAATAATGTCAAATATATTTGTTTTATTTTCCAAATCGTTTGGAAAGATCCTTATCATAGTTTAGAAAGATCCTTATCCATTTCTGTTTTTTTTTTGTTTCTGAAAGAATTTGAAGGAACCTAAAGAGCTCCTAACGTTTTTTTTTTTTTTTCGAAAATGTGAAATAATTTTGAAAGTTTCTAGTGTTTATTTTTGACAAAAATTTTTCAAAAATCCTTGGAATCTATACGTTCTTGTTTTGGAAGAATTTTGAAAACCCTTAGTCTCTTTTGTGAAAGAGTTTGAAGGAACGTGAGGGTTCCCTACTGTCTTTTTTTTAAAGATTGACAAAGATCTGGGGCCTCTTTTGTCTTGTTTTCAAAATAATTTGAAAAAATCTTACCGGCTTTTGGCTTTTGTTTCTGAAAGAGTTTAAAGGAACTTTAGAGTTTTAGCTCTTTTTTTGAGAATGTGAAAGAATTTTAGAAGTCCTTAGTATTTAGGTTCGAAAAAAATTTTCAAAAATCATCGTGGTCCATAAGTTTCTGCTTTGGAAGAATCTTGGAAGCCTTTAGCCTCTTTTTTGAAACAGGTTGAAAGTATCTGTGAGTTCCTTGGTATCTTTTTTTAAAGAATATAAATATGTGGGGCTCATTGTCTTTTATTTTCAAAATAATTTGAAAAGATCTTACCGGCTTCTGATTTTTATTTCCAAATGTGCTTGAAAAAATCTTAAGGGCTCCCAGCGTTTTGAAATAAAATGTGCAATAACCTTCGAAGTCTTTAGTCGTTATTTTTGAAAAGTTTTCGCAATTGCTCACCGTCTACATATTTATGTTATTGAAAAAAAATTTGAAAGGATCTTGAAAACCTTTGCCTTTTTTTGAAAAAATTTGGAATAGTCTGACGGTTTCCTAGTGTCAATGTCAAATAAATCGGGCTCGTTTTGTTTTATTTTTGAAATAGTTTGGAGAGATTTAATCGGTTTTTGGATTTTTGTTTCTGAAAGAGTTTGAAGACCTTCTCAGCGTTTTTTTTTTGAGAATGTGAATCTTGGAAGTTCCTAGTGCTTATTTTTGCTAACAATTTTTCAAAAATCCTGGTGGTCCTTTGAAAAAAAAAATGGATTTTGATGTAACTTGAGCTTCCTTTTTAAGTTGAAAATTACCTGAAAATTAATTTTCAACGTACACTATTTTGAAATCCCATTCCGGATGCCACATTTAAAGTTTGAGGATTCTTAAATCTAATTTGAGCCAACAGTGCTTAGCTCTCTGTCGAGTTGATTTTTCAACAATTGGTTAAATTATTGCTTTATTCAGCAAATCTAATAATGTTTAAGTAATGTAAAAGTAAATAGAGGCGTTCTTATTAAAACAATTTCGACGGGCTTGAAAAAACTGAAAATATTTTAAGAAACAGCAAATATGAAAATCTCGCTGACCAGCAATAACAAAAAATTGGAAACCGATGTCTAAGGGTATTTAGTGTTTAATCGTCTAGCAAATTTCGGTAGGACAAAGCGTCGATTATATGAGCCGCCAGACATGGGGGCAATTTATGCAGATCTGTCTACTAAAATCAGCGTAATCTACAAGTGACGTAATGCAGAAGAGGGAGGTGGCAAGTCAGATATCTTTGAATTATATGGAAGGCTGAAGCTCCCGCTAACTAACTAATAGCTGGCGTTTCTATGCAAGCATAATAGAATTATGATCCTTCAGTATTCCTGTAATTTAATTAAATACCCATATACCAAAATTTCTCGAGCAGTTCTAAATCATTTTATTTGTTTGCGCGTGGAAGATTTACAGCTTCTACTCAACAATTAACTTCGTAACTTGCAGCATATTGTTGCAGGTATTTGTGCGCGATCTGTAACACAGATTACTCTGTACTAATCTTTACGTTAATTGATGAATTAGTCATTCTGATAATTTGGTCACATCACTGATACGCCCGGGATTCGGCTTAATTAATACCACACGTATCAGTCGGGACGATCTGGATTAAGACCGCACCACGAAAGCGACTTTTAGAAAGCGCAACCGGATCACTCCGCCTACAAAACAGGAAGTTTGTTTATACATTTTTACGAGAAGTCGATAAATCTCATCGCAGCTTTGACCTAGAAATATGCGCGCATTTATGTCTCGGACTTTTGTTCGGAATATGGAAAAACAAATCGAAATGACCACGATAACCACTTTTGAATAAATAACGACGCCGCATAGTTTCGGACGGAGAAAAGAAATTCCATTAATAAATTGTCGCGGGGCTGCTCTGCCCGAAACAGGACAATAAAGTCGGACAATAATGATCGTTTTCTATTTTATTCGAAAAATAAAACGAACCGAAATAAACGGGTTATAATAGAACGCTGAAACTCCGAATTTTAACTGATTGATTGGTTAATCTTGTTGCGGCGGTTTTAAGCTCTGTTGCAAGCGTTGTCAATTGAGCATGGAAAATAATACAAAAAAAAGATTTGTTCACGTGGCGATTTTACATGGCTGCGATTGTTTAAAAGCGCACCATCGAACGGTTGCGGGCTCGACATCAGTTTTATCTACGTTAATTAAATTTGAAATTTTTAAGCAAAGCAAATATTTAATTTAGTTTTTGCGCATGAGGGCACATCCTGTTTTAAGAAATTAAATTAATATTTCATTATTGTATATGTATATGTTTTTATTGTTCAATTAAGCGAAATATAGCTCGATGTCTAAACTTGGATGGTTGTGATCTTGATTGGGTAACAATTCATTTCATCTTTAATATTACGTTGTTTATGAAATAAAATTAGACTCAGTACTCTTACATTGTTATTACAAGCAAAGTTAAGTTGAGGAAATTTTGAAAAGGGTTATTTTTTGGTTTTTCGACGTTTTTTGGGTAGCTGGAGTAACTTTGTATATACACACTTAATGCAAATGTTCAACAAATATAAAATTGGGCTTCCAGTAATCGCTCATTTTCATGAAAGCGTTTAATTACTGAAAATTAGAACTGTGGGTTAATATTTCGCTAGAATAAATTTGTTTCCTGAATTTAAAAATTCCCATTGTCCAGCACTGTCGGTGTTTTTGATCGAATTCCAGCCGAACGCAACAACAGAATAAACGTTCCGACTGGTCTCCCTACAATTGGTTTAAAAACGAATATGAGCATTATTGCTCTACGCCTTATTAATATTTATGTTGCGCATTTCAATACCGGAATGACTGACCGGAATCGATATTTTGGCGAAATCCGGCCCCCAAAATCAATTACGAGCGAAAGTTTTAATGCTCCGAATTACCATCTCCGACCAGAAAATAAAGGAGAAAATGTTTTTATATTTGGTGTACATTGTTTGGGTGCTTAAGTACTCCACTAAAAAGTATACGGCCGGAGTCGGGCGCGAATTTGCATACTTTTCATTAGAACACTTTTTCCCGGTTTTATTTTCGAAAGGAAATTATTTTGTTCGGTCATATGCATTTACTAACGCGGATGTTTACATTTATGGTGGTTTTTTCATGGTCGCGTTTAAGCGTGAGTAATGTTGATTACTCCGTTGTCCTGAATTATGTGTCGCGCGTAAACCCGCAGAGATCGGGGAAAAGTCAAATGAGATACTTTATACAGAGGCACTTGAGGATTTCATGCTGAAACCAAAAGCCGATCATAAATCCCCTCCACGGCGGCCCATTCAGGAAGGTGTCGCTTTCAGCGAGGTGAAAACTTAAAAGGACTTTTATAATGTCCTTGTCGAAGCTTTAAATGCGAGCGATCTAGACTGTCATCAGGATCCTTTCGGAAATATCGAAGGGGATTCGCCCGGCGCATCCACCATATTTACCGCACAAAGGAGGGCGTCCTACGCAATTAAAACGAAAACGCGGACAAATGCGACGTTTTTGACGCGTTTTAGAAATATTTCAAAGCGGATTTTTTTACTAATGAATATTTTTATTCGTAGGTGGCTCTAAATTTTCGTTTCGACGATTTCTGACTGGGTGGACCCTCTTCAGACAGCAGTTACGTAAGTCCCTTTTATTTTTTTTATAAATAATAAGCTTGTGGAAAATTACAAACTCATTTTATTCAAAAACACATTAAATAGATCTAACTTCAGAACGAGTTTGTGTTGTGTTATATAATTTAAAGTTTCCTGACTGAATGCCTGTTGTATATTTAACTTTATAAAAAATTAAAACAAGGGAGGAGAATTATGTGCACGGAAACCCTCGCTTTGGGGGCATAACAGCTTAATATCGTTTGTGTTTCAGTACTGATAGATTATAGAAAATAACAGCTCAAATATGTTTCGCTAGTGGCACTTTGTTGTATAAGATAACGAAAATAGACTTTAGCGCAGGAAGCAATAAAACCACTTTTAAGCAAACTTAATTGGGAATTTGTTCACTGAATATTAAGTCGATGAAAGATCAAATTTCAGGAACCGCTTTACGTAACCGTCTCTTACTTAAGGTGTCGCGTAACGTTTAGGTTTTATTACTAGTTTAGTCCCGTTTTAATCAATTTAAACACCCAATTATTCATACCTTTTATTGGTAAAATAATCATTAATAATTTGTTTCATGAATAATAATAAGTTTTGTGCATTTTTTGTTTCAAGTCATCTGTCGCTTTTACTGTAGTTATTAATCCGATTTTAATTTATAATCGCTAAGTAGAAACATCCAGCTAAATTCAGTTAATCGAAATAGGATTTGTGGGTTCAACTTGATAATTTATTTCAGTTAATTGGGAAATTATTTGGTTTAAAGCCATGAAATTATTAAAACTACATTAAATATTAACTTAATACTTGGGACCTAATCAATAATGTGTAACTGCAATTATCAGAACATTGACTAATGAATTAATTCTAGCGATAGTAGAGTTCATTGGAGCCAATATTTGTAACTGTTTCAAAGTCCACGTAACCCTTTTTTTTCTAGCTCGCTTTTAATCCTCGATCTTTATTACTATGCACCAGCTTAGTAATTTTTCCGCGCTAAAGAATTCGAAACTTTTATATCCCGAAATCTCGCCGTCTATACCGTCCTTATTTCGTACGAACTCCCCATCAAAAATACCTCCACGCCCCACATCTCCCATTTTTGTCCTCAGTGTTTCTTTCTTGGCCTCGATGTCACCAACTTTTATATCAGTTCCTCAACTTTATTGCTAATCGTTTTAACTTTATATTTCGACCGGAACGTGCTCTTTCATTTTTATTCCTTTGACAAATAAGTTTGCCACCTCGGAGCCGCCGCTCACTTCCTGCACCCGCTCGTCGCGTAATTCGAATGAAATTTATAAAAAAGAATATCCCACGTCTTCGGCTCGGTTTAAACCGTCGCGACAGCTAAAGCTCAAACAGCACGTATGATTTACAGCCCCGAAGAGCGAAAACACGTGTCCGCTTCATCCGAGTCTTATTGTGTCACGCGGGAGAACGAAAAATGCGTGCGGATTATTCAAACAGGATGATGCCACTGCTCATCAGAAAATCATTTGTTTTTTGGTAACGAAATAATTGAGTCAGGGACACTTTCCAGGTCGTTCGCGAAGATGTTGACAAAGACATGATAAATACGGGTCAGAATTTCGAACGGCGATGTGAAAATTCGCAGATTAGCAAAGCTTGTAAAGCGAGTTCGGTGTTCTTGTTTCGTCCGAGCTATAACTGTGAGCGCCCCTCGTTACCGCAGCCGTTGCCACGTCATTCTCTATATTAGAACAACGCACAACAGCTGTTTTATTTAACGGTTACTGCGTAACTTAGCTAATGAACGTTTCTTGCTGACGTTCACTATCGAACAAGAAATGTACTACGGCATCGTGATTTCATGGATATGGGGTGATAATAACGATTGCGAGCAGATTTTCATGGGGCTAATGGGCCAGACTTTGGACTTTGGTCTTTGTTCTAGCACTTCCGGATGTACTGAAGATGGATAACAGTTTTGTAGAACATCGACTGGAAGTAGTTATGGCAACATCGCGTTGCGGATAACTCGCAGAGTGTTTCACTTACACTCCGGAAATGTTCTACACGCAATAATAAACATATTATCGTCAACAATAACCAGCAAAACGGTCATTGAATTTATAATAATTAGTCTAAGAGTCATGAAACGTCGAGAAAACATAAAAATAGCCAGTCGTCCGACGGATTCGATTACAATACTTCCTTAGCTTACGCCCAGGGAGTAAAAACAGGAAGTGTCATTTTACTACGTATTTACTGATTTACAATTTCATAAATGAATAACGTTGTTAAACTCGAGTTCATATCGATTGCAAACAAAACAAAGCACGTAACAACGCCGGCAAATATTTGCCCGTCGTTCTTATGTCGTTCGTTCATTTCTGTGACAGTCACTATTTCAAACTACGCGAATCACTTTCATTGTAATAGGATTTAGCTTTTTACTTCCCGAGCGTAAGCAAAGGAAGTATTGTAATCGAGTCCGTCGGCCGACTCTCTACTTTTAAGTTTTCTCGATCTTTCATGACCCCTAGAAGACGAAGAAATAGGTCTCCCATTTCCGTCTGTCTGTCCGTCCGTCTGTCCGTCTGTCCGTCTGTTGTCCCGGATTTTTATTAGACAGATAACCTCCGAAAGTACTCGACCGATTGTTGTGAAATTTTGTACTTATATTAAGAATATCATGTAGATGGTAAAACGCTAACCAAAATTTGTCTAATCATCCCCACCACTAATGCGATGACGTCACTTCAAAATTGTACATAGTAAATGGGTTTTCAATTGTATAAAATAACATAGTCCTACACATGTAGTTTACAACTCTGAATCGACTTTTCACCCGAAACGTCCAGATTTTTGGAAAAAAAATCAAAATTATAAAACAACATTTTGAAATTTAATTTTTAATCTGCTAACCAGAATGCTTTGAAATGTTGCAGATGTTTTAAGGCTATAAAGAGCATCATAAATCTTTAGTCAAAAAATATTTGCTTATCCCCTCCAAAAACTTGATGACGTCAGCTCAAAAGTTTGTGGAATAAATCATATCTAAAATGTACAAAATATGATGAGCCTGTACTTGCGATCTATCACTCCATTCATATTTTTTGGATTTGCATATACAGGGTGACTCAAAAAAATTAATGAATGCGTAAATATATTTTATTGATTTAATCAGGAACTACAAAACCGAATGCTCTGAAATCTTGCAGATGTTTTAAGGTCATAAAGAGCATAATAAATGTTTAGTCAAAATATATTTGCTTATCCCCTCCAAAAACTTGATGACGTCAGCTCGAAAGTTTGCCGAATAAATCATATCTAAAATGTACAAAATATGATGAGCCTGTACTTGTCATTTATCACTCCATTCATATTTTTTGGATTTGCATATACAGAGTGACTCAAAAAAATTAATGAATGCGTAAATATATTTTATTGATTTAATCAGGAACTACAAAACGGAATGCTCTGACATCTTGCAGATGTTTTAAGGTTATAAAGGGCATAATAAATGTTTAGTCAAAATATATTTGCTTATCCCCTCCAAAAACTTGATGACGTCAGCTCGAAAATTTGCCGAATAAATCATATCTAAAATGTACAAAATATGATCAGTCTGTACTTGTGATATATCACTCCATTCATATTTTTTGGATTTGCATATACAGGGTGATTCAAGAAAATAAATGAAAGCGTAAATTTATTTTACTGATTTACTCAGGAACTACAAAACCGAATGCTTCGAAATCTTGAAGACATTTTAAAATTATCATAAGCATGGTAAATTTTTGATCAAAACGTATTTGGTCGTCCCCCCTAAAAAATTTATGATGTCACCACAAAATTTGGCTGAAAAAATCCTATCTAAAATGTACAAAATATGGTGAGTCTCTTGTTGTTGATTTATCATTCCATTCAAATTTTTTCGTTTTGCATATACAGGGTGACTCAAAAAAATTAATGAATGTGTAAATTTATTTTATTGATTTAATCAGGAACTACAAAACCGAATGCTTTGAAATCTTGCAGATGTTTTAAGGTTATAAAGAGCATAATAAATTTTTAGTCAAAATATATTTGGTTATCTTCTACAAAAAACTGATGACGTCAGCTCAAAAGTTTGCCTAATAAATCGTATCTAAAATGTACAAAATATGATGAGTCTGTACTTGTGATTTATCATTCCATTCATATTTTTGGATTTGCGTATGCAGGGTGACTCAAAAAAATTAATGAAGGCGTGAATTTATTTTATCGATTTAATCAGGAATTACAAAACCGAATGCTTTGAAATCTTGGGAATATTTTAAAGTTATTATAAGCATGGTAAACTTTTGTTCAAAATGTATTTGTTCATCCCTCCTAAAAAAATTGATGACGTCACCCTTAAATTTTGCTGAATAAATCCTATCTAAAATGCAAAAAATATGATGAGTTTGTACTTGTGATTTATCATTCCATTCATATTTTTTAGATTTTCTTAAGAGGTGGTTCAAAAAAATTAATGAAGTCAATTTATTTTATTGATTAAATTAAAGGCAACACTTATTATTAGTATTACACCCCAACCAACCCAATTTGGTAGACACAAAATTTGTTAAAGGAAAAACTCGGTTGAAACATAAGGGTAGCACGCTTATTTACATCGACTTTAACATTACAGACCTGCATTTGTTTTATGCGTTCACTTGATTCCGCGAATGTGAAATAGACATGTTTATAATCAACCAATTGTGAATTTCACCGTCAAGAATTAAAATAAAACCCAATGTTTTATATAATAAGCGGAAGTCGAAGCAATAAAACCGACGGTCGTTTTGTTTACAGTTTCTCTGTTTGGCTCTCATGTATGCTGTTACGCCTGTCATCTTAAATTAAGAATGTTTATACATACACGATTTTCAGTTGCCTCTGATACGTAGGTATACGTGAGTAAATTGTTTCGTTATTTTATTGATTATTACAAATCAATATTCAAACGACCCAATTCATTTTCTCGAAAATTTGAGAATATAATAATTTTATTCTTAGTATTACAC